TTTTATATTTGAGGATCCATCAATTTAAATTGGCGGCAATATTTGAACTTAGTTTTAACACGACCCCTCAATTTAAATTCTCCCTTTTATAGTCAAAAGAAATGTCAAATGTTTATATCAGATTTCAGCGAGTCCCATGTCGCCCATACATCTCCAATGAGGTTCACTAGGTAGTGCCTTGGTTAGCACATCAGCTGCCATGAGTTTTGTCGATAAGTATTGCAGGCAGACATCCTTGTTGCTTACAACGTCCTTGATGAAGTGCCAGCGGATGTCGATGTGTTTGGTACGTGGGTGATGCGCTTGACCTTGAGCAATACACATAGCACAACGATTGTCGACGAACATGGTTATTTCTCCATAGTCTCTTTGTTTCAATTCTTAAAGAACTCCTTTTTGATGAAGAATCTCCTTCACAGCCTCAGCAAGACTGACATATTCTGCCTCAGTAGAGGATAAAGCAACAATTCTCTGCTTTTGTGACTTCCAGGACACTGCACCCCCAGCTAGGATAAAGCAATACCCTGTATAGGACCTTCGATCCAAGGTGCAGTTTCCCCAATCAGCATCAGAGTACCCATACATTGGTGTCTTAGTCTTGGTGTAGACCAATCCAATATTGGTCGTGTCAGCAAGATACCGAAAAACTCTCTTCACAGCTGACCAGTGCTCCTTCCTCGGATCCACAGTGAATTGTGCCAGACGTGACACTGTATTTGCTAGGTCAGGACCAGTGGCGATGATGAGATATGTAAGGGCACCAATTGCCGCACGATACGGCCAATTCCCTTTCTTCTCATCTAGACTTTGTACTGTCACTTTATTACCAGCAATTGACGGAGTTTGTACTGGGTTACAACCCTCCATGTGAAAACGTGACAGAACGTTCTTGATATATCCTCGTTGTGAGAGAGTGATTGACTCTCCCTGTTTTATTTCCAGACCTAGGCAATATTTGGCTAGACCTAAGTCTTTTACTTGAAAGACACTAGATAATTCGTCTCTTATCTCCTGCATCCACTGCTTGTCGTTAGTTGCGACGAGTATATCGTCCACGTAGAGCATCAGGAGCATTGTTTTCTCTCCTCGTTTGGCGTGGAACAAGCAGGGGTCCCCAACAGTTGGTGTTATACCGATTGACTTGAGTTGGTCATTGACCCTCTTGTACCACTGCCTACCAGCTTGTTTTAGGCCATAGAGTGCTTTCCTCAAGATGCAAGCATCTCCACCTGCCTCTAGACCGTTCAGCATAGCTTGCGCATTGATTCGAACCTCATTTGAAGAGCCTTGATCACCCACCAATCTTTTCACTGCTTGACTTAGCATTGGAGGTAGCTCCATGTACACCTCCTTTTCAATGGTTCCATTCAGAAATGCGGTTACTATGTCAAATTGCCATATCTTCAAGTTTAATTCAGCTGACAGTGCTAGTACTAACCTTAGAGTTTCTAGACGAATTACTGGAGCTTAAGTCTCGGTGTACTCGACGCCAGGCATCTGGCTGAATCCTTTTGCAACTAGTCTCGCCTTTCGGCGACTAATGTAGCCATTTTCATTGTATTTATTGATGAGGACCATGCAACAACCAACCGCATGCCTGCCTGTTGGCCTTTTAACAATGTCCCAAGTCCCGTTCCCAACCAGGCACTTCATTTCCGACAGGATAGTTTCATCCCACTCTTGACAGTTTTCACCGGACATGGCATCATCGATACTTCTGCTATGCCAGCAAAAGGAAAATAATCAAGGAAGTCATCTTCGTCGTATTCACAATCAGAGAAGTATGGATCTTTCTCACCAAAAGCTGCATCATTGTCCTCAGCATCAATGAAAACCCTATCATCAACGTCCTCTATGTGAATTTCTGGGATACCATGCCCCTCTCCAGTTATCGACCGTGATGAGTAGAGTTTCCTAGGGCGACCACGAAGTCTTGTGCGCAGGAGTGTAGGGCGTCCTCTGCCTCTTTGGCCTCTGCCCAGAGTTTTGGTTGACGAATTTTGACTAACTGGCGTGCTTGATTCACTGGGAGCCTTAATTGGAGACCTTGCTACCATAGGGGAACTTCTCTCCTCATTAGTGGGCCTCACATTTGGATTAGAGCCATAAACACCAGGTGAGAAGACCTTTTCGTTCTCTAACAGCTCCTCCAGCATGCCCATGCTTTTGCCAGCACACTCATTGAACTTGACATCTCTAGCAACGATCAATTTTTGATCGTCAGGTAGCCAGACACGATATCCTTTTGTCTCTGTAGGATAGCCAATGAATATCCCCTTTTGGGATCTGTGAGCCAACTTGTCCTTGGTTGGATCCTTGTTGAGTACGTACACCTCGCAGCCAAAAATCCTGACATTGTTGATGTCGGGAGACTCACCAGACCATACCTGGATTGGAATTTGACCTTGAAGGCTGCTTGTTGGACTCCTGTTTCGTAGATAACTTGCAATTGCTACTGCATCTGCCCAAAATTGTGAACTGAGTCCAGATTGTATGAGTAGGCACCTAGTCATGTCCATCAGTGTACGATTCAGCCGTTCAGCTATGCCATTTTGTTGAGGTGTTGGGGCAACAGTCAGCCTCCTTTCAATATCATGTGCCAACAAGTACTCGTCCATAGCACCATTGCAGTACTCTCTTCCATTGTCACTTTGGAGTATCTTAATTTTCTTGCCAGTTTGATTTTCTGCTAGATTTTTGAACATCTTGAAGGCCTCTAAAGCTCTACCTTTCTCCTTCAGAAAATATATTTGGCACATGCATGAGCTGTCATCAATGAATGACACAAAGTAACGGGCTCCGTTTAGTGCTCTAACTCGAAATGGGCCAACAACGTCAGAGTGCACGATACGCAATAATTCTGAGCAAGGTCCTAGACCTTTAGGGAAAGGTGTTGTTGACATCTTAACCTTGGTACAAACATCACAGCTCTTTGAATCTACATCTCTTGTGACCTTGATGCCTCCAGCCATATCAAGCAGCTTCAAGAGGTCCCTGTTGTTCAAATGCCCCATTCGTTCATGCCAAAGCTTGATGTTGGGCTCAGGCTGGGCATAATTGGATAGATAATCGTTGTCATCTTCGTGTCGAAGACAGTACAGGTGACCCTCTCTTTTTCCTTTGAACTTGATGGTTCCATCAGGGGCTATGATGACTGCAGATTCTTTGTTAAATACAACGGAATTGCCCTTATCGGTAATTCTAGCGACAGATATAAGATTAGTGCGCAAGTTAGGAACAAATAGAGTATTTTGAAACTCAACAATCTTACGACCTTGTTATGCAGACACTGGAAGTTTCACTGTCCCTCTTCCTCCAACTTCAGTCGATGATTGACTCACCAGGTTGAGACGACCCGTTACTGATTCATCCATCCAATCAAAATAATTTTTCACACCACAAATGTGAGCGGTACATCCACTGTCAATGATCCACCTGTCCAGTCTCACATCTTGACTAGATATCTTGTTAGCTTCCTTGAAGGTTGAATGACAAGCTAGATAAGTGTCATTCTTGTCATCGTGTGACTTTACTCTAGTATTTGCCTCCCTCTTCCCTTTTTCCGGACTCTTATTGTCCTTGGGATTCCTGTTGGCTAACTCTGGACAGCTTGGGATAATGTGGCCGGGCTTCTTGCAGTAATAACAAATAGTCTTCTTTTTTTGAGAACTGCCGGCACTCTTGTCACGACCGTCTGACTTTCGTGGGCTCGTCGCGTTGTTGGATCTGGTCGCCAGGGCTCCGATGACTCCACTGACACCACTTTGAATTCTCACCTCATGTTCCTCAAGTATTTTAACTTTCAAGGCGTCTACATTAGGCAGGTTATCTCTAGACTCAATAGCTACCCTGAAATTATCCTAGCTAGGGGGTAAACTGTATAATAATATAATTGTCAAGAGATCCTCGTCTATGGTCGAGCCCATTGCCTTCAGTTTGTCCACAGCATCATAGAATCTTACTATGTGATCACGTGGGTCACTACCCTCTGACAACTGTGCCAAAAATAACTGCTTGAAGAGGGTGGCCTTCCTGGCTGGACCCTTAGAAGCAAAAATAGACTCCAACTGGAGCCAAACAGCACGTGCAGTTGTGAGATTTCTAAGCTGTGATAGCTCTGATGGATGAATTGACAAGATCAAGTCTGATCGAGCATTTCCTGTCTGCTTTCGTCCATTCGCGAAGATTCAGCTCATACGCTTCGACTACTCCAGCAGTTGCGCCTGCAGATATAGTGGGACATTCCTTTTCACCTGTGACGTATTCCCATAAGTCATTTTTGACCATCAAGGCCTCGATCTGCATACACCACGTGTCATCATTTTCCTTATTCAAAGCTTCAATTCTAGTGGAATTGATTACAGTACCAGCCATCTTGATCTACACTCAGTAGCTCGATGTCTCAACAATGGTACAAAAAAAAAATGTAAATCAATTATGGCACAATTTATAACCTCAAATTTCCAGGAGCATGCTCTGGGCCCATAACCTGAACAACTGAGATTATCTGAGGTCATAAATAAACTATAAAGGCTGATTATAGTTAACTCAGTCTTTATTATTACTTAAGTAGTTTTATATGTTGCAATGTGATTGCGTAAGAAACTTTTGGATTACATACTGTGATAACCAGTATCAACATGTAACTCCACGACGACAGAAGAGAAGGAAAAAAAAAGTAATCGACCAGTCTCTGGTTACATGAGAGTCATATCGTTAAGCGATTTTATATTTGAGGATCCATCAATTTAAATTGGCGGCAATATTTGAACTTAGTTTTAACATAATGTATTTGCTTCATCACAACCAGATCCTGCATCCCCAATCACATCCGGATTAATTCAAGGCGTGTCTGATCAAGTCTTCATCAAGTCTGAGGATTAGTATGTGATCGAACACCAAGTCTGACTTAATCCGAACCTGAGCCAAATTTCCACTTTGGATAGCTTTCACTCCATGTTGTTTCAACTAGTGTTTCTTACAAAATCTCGTTTACTTACTTTATCGACTTGGGAGTCCATTTGAGATATGATGAACTCAGTTACAAGAAGAGAGTAGATCATGACATTGAAAACAGCAAAAGCCAGGAAAGATTTTGATAAAAATTGCGGTTTATCAGTGCGAATATCACGAATGTGGAATATTTCAGCCCAGAAGCATACAACTAGTGAGGATCCACTCAATAATAGAGGATAGTACGTTGAAGACAAGGTTCTGGACCATCCTTCCTTAAAAGCAGTCTGAAAAGTGATAATTGCTCAATTAAAGATCTCAAAATTGAAAAAAAATTATTTCTATCATTATTCACCGCACAACTTGTAGTTCACAATATTTAGCTTTTGATTTATCACAAAAAAATGACAATTTGCATAATTCTTTAATTAACAAAATAATGTCATTTTTTTAAATTGACTAACAAGTGATGATTAGCTAGCTTACGTACGGGTGAAGTGAAGTAAGCTCCTCTGATGACAGAAGCTAGAAAGACAATAAAGTAAAGTACTTTCTGAGTTGTCACTCGGCAAGCCCTCAGGAATGATGGTGCCTTCATCTTTTGCCACTCAGCAACAATACACATTACTAATTGCATTAAACACACAAATGCAAGTACAAAAAACATGGTGGCGAAGGCGATGTAGTAACTGAAATTAGGTACGTGACAATCGGAACCGTCGAATTGTATCTGAAACAGATTTTCTTAATTTAGTACGAATCAATTAAAACCATAAATACTATTGTTCAATATATACACGCAAACATATTTTCGGCTCATCAGAGGTTTATAGAGCTAGTTGTATGATAATAGTGTTTCCAAAAATACAATATAATGTATAGCAAGCCTTGCCAAAGTGAGCTCTCAGAACTCACCGAACTCCCAACCCCAATTAAGCCAATGACGAAAAAAAAGGGGTTCTATTACATTGTGCAGGTAGTCGGGGTAGCGGGAGTCAACGCTTCCATCAGAGTGGAACTATCGTTATGTCAGTCAATGCGCAAAAATTTGAATTTTGAAAAGAAAAATATAAATAATTTTCTTGGTCTATTTTGCACTGTTAAAAAATAACAATTGTTCATATTTTTTATAGTTTCTACAATTTTCTATAGCAAATTCTCCATAAAATTGCGTTTAATAAATCACTTCAAATTGAACATTTTAACAGCAAATGAATTGAGATACACAGGTGAAAAAAATTTTCAATTTTGTTAATATTGCTTGAGCATTCCCTAAGCAGTATTTAAACTATTTAATTGTATTTACCGCAATAATTTTTTCAATAATTCGCATTTCAAGAATTGAATGTTGCAAGTTACACTCTTATTTAAATTTAAAACATTTTTTACCTTAAACGAGTACAGAAACAAGAAAGTTGAATTCCATCATTTTATGTCTCGTTGACTTTATATCGATTCTACTGTTAAATCTTTGAAAATTCATCCATTTCCACTCAACCACGGAAATGCATAATTACTGCAGAAAAAAATTTTAATAATTAGCTACAGAGAGTGATCGAGCGAAAATAATCGAAAAATGGAAGTGTGGGCAAAAACCCCAGTGCGATTGACAAAACTTAAATTAAGAAACAAAAACTTCATCAATTAAAGAGTTTATTTAATGTAAAATACTGATTTACAATATATATATATATAAAATTATATAAAGATCATCGGTGATATATCGGTGATATCGCAGTCTCAGCCCGAGAGCGCTTACTCACACCTTTTTTGAAGTTTTCTATTCTTGTAATAGCAGGAGGATTTCGACAGTGAGGTGGAAACTGAAATAGCTAAACGTGAACAAAAAAAAAGCCTATATCTTGACAGTTATAATTCATTTAATTACGGGCGAGGAAGAAAATGAAAGTTCTGTAGTAGGAGTAATTGATGACTCGGAGAAATTTGTTCTGGGTGATTTGTAGTTTAGCCATGATGGTAAGGGCTTGCATTGTACCAGACCGAGCAACCAAAAAGGTTCATATCAGCGTAGCTGGCCTTATACAATTTGAGCTTTATTTGCGTTGACAGGACTATTTTGAAACAGAATCTAAAATCAGCCCATGATGGCTTTCGTTGTTTGATTAATACTGTGGATGTAACACGACCACAGGAGCTTTTTATCAAGAGTTATTTCTAAGTATTTTTTTTCTTAATACAAGCCAATGCAGATAGCATTTTTTGGTGGCGGACATTACGAATTCAATTGTGGTTTCGTTTGAATTTATCTTGATTTCAGTTACTTTATCGATGATTGTTTCCGCTTGTCCTATAAGTTATTTGATGGTATGGTTCTATGATGTATTGAAAGAGTACAGGGCGAAATCGTCCGCGAATCCTGCGATATGGACTCGAGCAGGTATGCCGTCAAATGAGTGAGCGGTATAGAGATTAAATAATGTGGCCTGTCTCTTAGGCGAGTTGATGGTTTGTGAAGTAGGGTTCACAGAGCATCTTCGCCTTTTCCACGTCGGAAGTGGCGGTAGAAGTACTGTTTGTGAGAGAAGGGAGTGATATGTTGGGTGGTCCATTAAAGCAGAGGTAGGGAACCTCAGGTAGGCTCGGAGCTGCAGCCATAAAATTATTACGGCTCCAATTATTGGCAACCTAACGTTATTACAAACGTTGCCGGATACTCATTTGGTTGGGATAACATCACGAGTTGGCTCATGCGCGTGATTAAAATGCAACGACAGATGTTTGGAATTTTTGGCACGTGCATGGACATTTTTTGATAAAAAAAATGGAGGAATAGAATAGTTCAGATTCAACATTCATCGATGGAAACGAAAATAGAATGCTTGTAAGCGGGAGTAGAATAAATTTCTTTGCCAATTATTTTTCAAATTTGCATCACCAATTAACATTTGCACTCATTTGTTCAAGTTTCTCAAGCGCAAACTTTGAAAACGACTGATGAAAAACGAATAGTAAGCCACAACACATAAAAAAAAGAATGACAGAAGAAAATTCTGAGTACCATTTTGGTAGTAAAGAACACTTGTGCCTTCGTAGCTCCAAAAAATCCAACTGAATTTCCCAGACAATAGTAGTTATTCACGTAATGAAAGAATCTCTCACCTCCTCATTGTCGCGAATCCTTCAATGAGAGGTCACTATTGGCCGGACGTGACACATTGACACAATTCACACAATTAACCGTTGAAAATAATCCTGGATTTCAACAAGAAAAACAAAATACTTGCAATAACAGCGCTCAATTGGCGCGGATGAGTGCACCAGACTGGTGACTGATACCAGGGTAATTTCTCACAAAATGACCACTCGAAACAAATCGCTGTGTTCGATTTTATCCGCAATGTTTTTCTAAGCGTTATATGATAAAATAAAGCCTGAGTAGCAAGGAAAAAAAAATTTGATCGAGTTCTAATTTTTTTTAATTTTTATCGGATTTCTATGCATGAAAAATGAGTTGTTCATTACGGAAAAATACACTCGAAGGCTGTTAATGTCATAATTTCATTACAAGGAGCTGATAGTCTACTGAAAACCATTGAATAGAAGCCTCAAAAAGTAGAGTCTACGAAGGGAAATTTTCCATAGAAACTTTTTGTAAGACAGAATGAATTCTACAAAAACGGTCTCATATAAAATGTCATGGACCGTCTTTGTGACACTCCCCACATGCTAAGATTGACATCCAAGCCGAAGGCGACGATGGCAAATATGTGGGATGGGGTAATATGCATTCCATGGTGTCGGTTTAACAAAAGGGTTGCCGACGCAGGGCCTAGGAAACGCGATTTTCTGCACACGACGCGTAGCGTCCAAAAAATTGTGTTTATTAGGCGACAGTCTAGGCAACGCATTCTCATGAAAGAATAGAAAATTGGTGGGGTTTATTCGATTTCCATTAAACGAAGTGGTGATTCAATTCGATAAGGAACGCAGATTTCACAATAAAATTGAAAAATATTAAATTGATATTGTAAAAGAATTTTCCCCGGGTCAACACCACGGGGTATGCCTCGAACTATTCTGGCGCCAGCCAGATTTTTCGGGAAAGCCTGACGCAAACCAGCCGCTAAGGAAGTTCAGCGACTCCGCGGACTTTCGGTGGCGGGTCTCACAGTGCCTAGCCAGCATCAGCATGACACGGTAGAGTTGACGAGGTTCACTACCGTCTGAGTAACTCTCGTTACCGACTGAAGCCGCTGTTGTGTCGTTGATGGGTCTCTGTAGCTGAAAGCGTTCGATCCGTAGCCACAAAGTAATCTATGTCACCAGTCGAGGACACTTAAGCGTCCCCATCTCTCGCGATCACAATCTAGAATCGGCAACACGTGCTTATCATAACCCCAGCAGGGATTACTGCTACCAACTAGTACCGAGCTCCTAAAACATTCGTTCCGACACCAGCACTCAACTCCGAGTGCCGCGGGATCTCCCAGAGCCTTCTCCCCCGAGACTGAACCACTCAGCGTTCATGGGTCATTCGCTACCCCAGAACCACCAATTAGCTCGACGGAATCACGGGCGCGCTAACCCTTTCACCTAGCCGTTGGTCCCTGGTCTAAATCGATGGTGCCCTTCGGAACTCCCTAACACAACTGGGTGGATTCCCAAAATAGGCGACAGCCCTCGTTAGCTTCATCATAGTGTTCCAGAACATGGTTTCACCCTACCACGTTTCTTCCCCCTATGTGATTGGTCTCACTCACCTTCTCAGCGACCTGATTGGCCGTCGTCTGATGCCTTAATCATTTTTCGTTAGGCTCTTTCAGCCGGCGTCAGATGTCTGCCTATTAATAGTCACTTTTTCTAATGGCCTTTATTAGTAACGAGAAAATCTCGTTACAATACTTATAATGAATTAAAATTGATCGAAATCGATTAAATCATATATCTGTATTGATAACCTCAAAAAATTATGCGGTATAATCTACAAAAATTAAAGAACACAGATAATGTTTTTTCATTGTGAAATGTTTGTGCTTTTTAATTGGGCATCAAGAATGCAAAATGTACCAACGAAAAGTATGAAAATGTATGTGAAATCCGGTCCATTAATAAAATGGTAACATTTAATCATTGTTTTCTAAACAATATTCCCTCTTCAAGAAAACTGTGAAAGGGACGAATGGAGATTGAATGAATACAAAAATCAACCGAAAATAAACAATATAAATATAATAATAATATAAATGAATATGCAGTGACATTGATATGGGCGATTGTGACTTCCAACTATATCAATCATGTGATAGTCTTCTGGTTAGGTCGTAGGGTTCCGAGTTCAAACCCAACTTTAGGCGGAATATTTTAAGTTAACCAAATCGGTTTTTTCAAATGTTGTTGAGAGAAAATGTATGACTTCAAGGATAACAAATAGGAAAATCTTGTTCCACTGAACCCACCTCGTCATATAAGGTTATGGGCCAGGGCCGGCGGAACAGCATTTGTCGGAGTATCGCCTGTGGAAATTTCTCAGCCCCCCCCCCCCCCCCTGTGTAAAGTTAAATCGGTTAGAAGGCTATCAGCGTATAATTTTCTAGCTTACTCATTATGGACATAGAGAGTAGCCAGACTGTTCAGTCTGTCCTGTGTCATGGTGAAACGCATGTACTTCTTGAGATGTATTAAAGTCAAAGAGGTACGCTCGTTCGTACAGGTAGAGTTAGGCATCATCCAAGGCAGCTGAATAGAGCGATAAAAGTCTGGAACGAGTCC